GACGACTTTGCGGACGCCATGCCGTCGACGGATGCGTTTGTGGCCGCGCCGACCGCCGGCACGCCAGTCCCAACGCAGTGGATTCGCGCGTCGTCGATCGCGGCCGAGCACGTGGCCGCCGGGTCGTTTGACACGGCCATGCAGCTGCTCCACCGGCAGATTGGCGTTGTCAACTTTGCGCCACTGCAGCCGCTCTTTATGAGCCTGTACGCCGGTGCATCGGGCGTGGTGCCGACGCAGGCGTCGTCGGCGTCGCTCAAGACGTACTTGCAGCGGTCGGCGGCGCACGAGCCCGCGATCACGACGTCGGTGCACCACCTCGTGAGCATGCTCAAGGAGGCGTACCGCGCGTTCAGCGGCGCCAAGTTTGACGACGTCGAGGGTGCGTGCCGTTCGATTCTGCACCACATTCCGCTCTTGTCGGTCGACAGTAAGGAGCAGGCGGCGCAGGTGAAGGAGCTCGCGGTCATTTGCCGCGAGTACGTGGTCGCGTGCCGTCTCCGCGCGGCGCTGACGAGCGTGCCGCTGGAAGCCGACCCGAAGCGCAACATTGAGCTGAGCGCGTACTGGACGCACTGCCGGCTCCAGCCGTCGCACATGATGCTGACGCTCAAGAGCGCCATGACGAACGCGTACAAGTGCAACAACTACATTACGGCCGCGTCGTTTTGCCGCCGCCTCTTGGAAATCCCCGAAGTCAACACGGAGAAGAACATCAAGCTCGCGCAAACGGCCAAGAAGGTGCTGCAGAAGGCCGAGAAGGAAGCCCGCAACGAACACTCGGTCGACTATAGCGACGCGCGCGGCTTTACGCTCTGCGCGCGGACGCTCACGCCGCTCTACAACGGCGACGGCGTCAAGTGCCCGTACTGCGCGTCGGCGTACGTGGCCGAGTGCGCCGGCAGCCTCTGCGACGTCTGCACCCTCTCCAAGATTGGCGAAGAGACGCTCGGCCTCGTCGTCGCCAAGTAAATCGAACCAGTAGGACGGCGACGTGAACTTACATGCATTTGCTCTGCCCTTGTGTCATCGTTGTTGGGTGAATCTGCATGGGAAATGAGTGAGGCGAGCGAGCCAAGTGGAGGGGAGTCGTCCTGTCGAAAAGAAGGGATGGGAATTTGGTCGTTTCAGCCAAGTGAGCAGATCGCATGGCAGGACGACGACGCAGCATGCACCTCTTCCTCGGCGCGATCTTCCTGCTGCTGCTGGCGCCGACAGCGATGGCGTGCGAGGTCTCGGAGGTTCGCGTTGTGCTCGCGACGGCCGAGTCGCTTGGTGCTGTCTTGAGCGAGAAGCTCCGCGTTCTGTCCTTTGTGCAGGACACGCAGGGCCGCGGCCTACCGCTCGAAGCCACGGGCCTCGTCGAGGTCTGCTGTGCTCGAGCATGCGCTGCTGTATCCATGGACGTGTGTAGGTGGGCGACACGCTCACGAGCGTCAACGGCGTCGCCGTGACGAGACTCTCGGAGGCGATCGCGCAGCTGCAGACCGCCGAGGTGCCCCGCACACTGCTCTTTCGCGCCGCTGCGCCGCGCTGCGTTCCCGAGGCGGCGCCCGTCGTCGACGACACGACCGTCGTACGTCCTTCGTGTCGATACGCGCGTGATCGTGTATGCCACGTAGCGGGTCGTGAACGGCGGGTGGACCGAGACGTTCTTCGCCGTCAAGTCCGACTTTGGCGACTGGCCGCAGTGCTACGCGCATCCGCTGACGGTCGCCCAGCCCCTCGATGCTTGCGAGCCGCTGCGCAACAACGTCTCCGAGCACTACGTCGTCGTGCAGAGCTCGCACTTGTGTTCGCCGCACCAGCAAGCCCTCGTGGTCGGCCGCGCCGGTGGCCGCGGCGTCCTCCTCGCGCAGTACGCAGAGAAGAAGCCCGAGGCCGTGCGACTGCCGCCGCAGTATACCGGCACGATTCGAACGCCTGTCATCATGGTCTCGCACGCATCCGGTTCGATCCTTCCATTCGTCGTCTCCATCATGCCATGCCTGGTGCTAGGTCAGAAGATGGCGAGCATGGTCCTCTCTAGCCCCACGCCGCCACTGATTTCCCTCATGGTGTCGCCGCAGTGCAAGGTCACGACGGCTACGACGCTCGCATCCACCGTGCAAGACGCGCTGGCGGCCGCGACAGCTGGCAACCTCGTCGCGCTTGCGCAAGGACAGCTCCACTCGTACCCGGTATCAAAAGCTCGTGGATCTCATGACCAAGCGTCGAGGTGGTGTAGTATCTCAAGGGTGCGGCGAGCCCGAGTCTAGGTCTTGGCCGCTTCAAGGTCCGGTTCGCCGTGCACGAGCTCTGCAGCGACACGATCATGCGGTACGTCAAAGGCGCGTTCGTCGTCGCACCCATCAATACACGCTGTTCGCAGCAGCGCCAAGTACGTTCTCGTTGGTTCAGCTTGCAGATCTTAGTGGCACGCGCACAGGTTCAGACGGTGGCGGCCAACAAGGCGCTCGGCATAGTCTTTTCTGCGTCAAGCCCATCTCAGATCTTGCACCGCGCGGCTCTCGACGTCGCCAGCGAGAATGCGCCATTAGCGCTGCCCACCGTGTACATTTCGGCCTCGACGGCGGACGCGCTCAGGTTCGTCCCGAAACATAGTACGAAGCGCCGCCCTCCTACCTTGGCGGTAGTGTCTCGGCGGAAACCGGCGACGTGTACATTGAGTTTGAGCCGACGAGTACTGTTCTTTCTCTTCTATGCTCGACACCGGCGACGGTTGTGGTCATCTCCTCCGCTAGATACGCATGAACATCACTTTGAAGAGCTGCTGGCGCTCTCGGACATGACGCAGTGGCCGGCGGCGGCGCAGGGCCGCCATGTGCTCTACCACCGCGTCCGGCGCGCGCTGGCGATCGACACCAATGGCGCCGACAAGGTCGCGGCCCTCGACGCACTCTACGCGCAGGCGCGTCACTTCCACGCCGATACGTAGCGCGCTTGTTCGAAAAACGAAGATTCGACTTTTTTTCTTGTCGGACTTTGTTGAAGATCCAAACTGCACGTCCTTCAACGAGTCCATTTCGCATCTTGCTCGGCGGAGTATCATGGCACCACACCTCGTCCCGTCGCCAACGAACGCCGCCGCCATGGACGGCTACATTGAGCACGACCGGACGCCGGCGCGAAAGCTGTCGTGGTCAACGACCATGAAGGTGCGGCAGCTGCTCATGACGCTCAAGTCCAAGGCCGGGCGCTCGTTCCAGCAGCACGCATCGCCGAACGGCAGTCCCCACGACGGCGTCGAGTACGCGCTCCTTGCGGACGACGATTTGTGAGCTGCGAATGGTGTAGAAAGCAGCAACAGTGTGACGTAGGTATTAAATGCGAATTTGCGTGGTTGTACTCGGTGCTTACTCTTTCTTGGTCGCGCAGAGAATGTAGTTGATGTCGGTGCAGCGCTCGCTAAGGCGCCAGCCCGTGATGAACGGATCGCCGACAATGCCCGAGACGTTCTCGACGCGCATGCCGTTCTAGCATCGACTTCCAAGACCTGTACGGTAGGATCATATCGCGGTACCTGCTCGAGCGCCGCCGTCAGCTCGTGCGTCTGCACATACTTGGACCACTCGTGTGTGCCTACGCAAATGCGCATGAGAATAGCAAGCGAGGTGGCAAGAGGTGTACCCGGCGGGACGAGGCGGAGGACATGTTCGACCGCAAGGATTGTCGTCAAGTACGAGAGCGCGGTGCGGCTGATCGTCGACATGAAGAGCACGCCGTTGGGCTACACGCAAAAGACTCGCTCGTCGAGGACGGATAGAGGAAGCAAGCGTACCTCGACGAGCTGCGTGAGCTGCTGGATGAACGCAGGGACGTCGTCGACGTGCTCGACAACCTCGAGCGCGCACACAATCTCAAAGGTCTCCTTCTGCTGCACGAGTGCATCAGCCGTCGAGCAAATGTAGCGGTTGTTCGCAGTCTCGTGGTCACCGAGCGCGTGCGTGGTTGCGGCCTCAATGTTGGCTTGGCCAGGGTCCACGCCCGTAACGTTGGCGCCGAGGCGGGCCAAAGCTTCCGAGAGGATCCCGCCACCGCAACCAACGTCCAAGACGCGGCGGCCCTTGAGCGGCCACGCGGACTGCGCATTGAGCGGCTCCTTTTTGAAGTGCGTAATCGCTTGCTCGCGGATGTACTGGACGCGGATCGGGTTGAGCTGGTGCAGGAGGCCGACGCCGGTGTTGCTCTCGGGTTTCCACCAGTCACTAGAAGCAGCCGAAGGGTGTGCATGAGCATCCTCTTCCTAGCGTCGTCATGCAGTACCTGGCCGCGCGGGTGAACTTGCTCACTTCGGCCTTGTTGACCGTCGAGAAGCGGCGCATGATGAAGACGATGAACGAAGCGTTCGCTGGAACTCGGCCACTCTTGGAATCCGCCGCAAATAGCATATGATACACTATTGGCGTTTTGAATGAAATACGCATATAGTGTTAGTCTAAAGAAGAGTGTTGGTCAAGATCGTCTTGACCAGGAACAGCTCGCGTTGACCATGCGTGTCTCGAGGTCGATCGGAAGCTGCCGAGCGTGTTAGCTGAGGAGGTCGCTCCAAACCAGCGCCTGCTTTTGGCCACTGTAGACAAACGAACTGTCATGTGGTACAGCTAGTGGCCTCACGACTGGCATCGAAATTGAGAAAAGGAGACCTCAAATTTGAGTTTGAGTTGTTTTCTGCTGAATCAACCCGTTAGGCACAGTTGCTCATATACATTCCCAGCTCAACGATCGGCAAGGTGCTCCAGCCGTCACTTGTCTCTCCATATTCGTTTTTGCCAAGCGGCCACGATGTGCGACGAAGAGCAAGTCGGATGTCGCTCGACGTCGAGGAAGACGAGCGGATGGAGATGCCAAACCGTGGTTCCACGAGCGAGATAATTTGGCGGGACCATCGCTCGACTTTGTCGACGACGATATCTCGTCTAGCTCTTCGTAGCGCATCCCACCACGTAGGATTTGCTTGGCAGAAACTACTTACGGCTTTCGAGTCGCTTCTTGGCGCGGATCCGTTATCGGGTTGATCTCTCCATATCACATTTTGCGAACAACCAACAAGTTTTGAATGCAATGCTTCAAAAACGTTCAAGACTAGAAGGCTACTTGGCACTGAGCTTGTCCACAATGGCCAAAAGCAGGCGCTGGTTCTGAGCCACCTGCTCAGCTAACACGCTCGCCAGCTTCCGATCGACCTCGAGACGCTCACGCTCATAAGCCAGCCGCTCCCGGTCGATCTCGAGCCGCTGTCGTGCTTGGTCGCGATCAAATGCCAGACGATCCCGCGCCAGAGCAAGCGTCGCCTCTGCGCAAGCCGCGTCCCGGGTGCGGTTTTCACACAGCGTGCGTACAAGCGACGCATTGAGAGAATTTTCCTCGGCATCGAGCGTCGCCGCCTTGCGCTTCAGGGGGCACTCGGCAGATGATCGAGAACTCGAGCCATTGTCTTGGTCTGGCGTACATGGCTCGAGTGTGCTGGGTCGTTGTACCGCAGCCTCATGAATAGCGGATGACGGCCCGTCGACCGCCCTTGGCTCGTTCGCCGTCGATGGTTCATCGTCGTAGAGTGACGAGACCTCGATGGCCCGTACTGTGCCACCAGACGCTGTGGCCAGCTCAATCAAACCCGCGTTCTCGTCTTCGTCCTCGTCTTCATCTTCTGCCCGAGTCTCGTCGGCCTCGGATGGTCCCTGCATTTGGAGTCGGATATCTGTCAAAAGGACCTCGCGCTCGGCGAACTCAGCGGGCGTGCCCAGCTTGCGCAGTCGCTGCATGTCGTTGGCGCAAAACTTGACGAGAAGCGTCTCAAAGCGCGACTTGAGCGCGGCGCCCGTCTTGCCTTTGAGCTTGAAGTCGGGCGACTGGGCAACGTCCTCGGCCACGCGGTCCCACGTCGCCATGACGCTGCCATGCGCGGCTTCCCACGGACACCAGCGCAGGACATGACGGAGCATTGCAACGTCGTCGGAGCAGGCAAACTTGCCCTTGTTGCTGGTGAGGATGTAGGCTCGCGTGAGCTCCTTGGGCGTCGGCGTCAAGAACGACGTTGCCTCGGACGATGCGGACGGTCGACCGTCCATTGTTGAGATTCAGTGCACAGGTTTTGGAGATATGCAGTATTGCTTTTGAGAGGAACGAGCCAATCTGAACCTGAAAATTCGAACGCGCTGGTCTGGACTCTCAACCCAATTTACGCGCGAATTGGGCCAATCATGTGCTCGCCATCGAACCCATTTTGGCCAATCCTGCGAGAAAGATCCACCGCTGCAGTTTCATTTCATAGACGAAGCGGCGATGGCGAAGAAGAAGAAGGGCAAGAAGGGCAAGAAGGTACAACCCATGGAAGCCGCGCCAAGGTAGATGTCATGCGTACCATGTAGGAGGAGGAAGCGCCGCCGGAAGAGCCGTCGGGTACGCCTTGGATGCACGGAGCGCGAGAATCCCACTCTGCTGCATGTAGAGTATGACACGATGGACGTCGAGATGCTCAAGGAGGTCACGCAGATGCTTCGCCAGCAGCTTGACAAGTCGCAGGTCGACCGCAACTACGTCCAGCACGAGCGGGTACGGCTTCCATCTACCATGGACCCATGCAGAAAGCGGTATGCTGGCGTAGGATACGATTCAGTCGTTCTACGACATTACGAAGCGGGAAGTCGAGACGCATGACATGGAGATCATGGCCAAGGACCGCGAGATGGAGATGATGGAAGACAACCACCGCGTCGAGGTCCGCGTGTACATCCAGAAGGTCAAACACCTCGAGTACGAGCACAAGAACAACCTCAAGCGCGTCAAGACGGACGGCGGCTCGCATATTGACGAAGAGAAGGACATGCACGTTCACCGCGAGCACAAGCTCAAAGGCGCAAAGCAAGCGCTCAAACTCGAACTCAAGGAGCGCGAGCTCTCGAACGAAGACGAGATCGAGCAGATGAAGCAGTCGCACGAGAAGAACTTGCTCAAGCTCCGCGAACAGTTTGAGAAGAACAACGCAGCGCTTGAAGACCGCCTGAAAGAGCGTCTCGCGCAGCTTCAGGAAGACCTCGAGCTCCGGCGCAAGGTCGACATCCACGAGATCGAAGAGCGCAAGAATCTGCACATCAACGACCTCATGAAGAACCACGAGCGCGCGTTCACGCAGATGAAAAACTACTACAACGACATCACAAAGGACAATCTGCGCTTGATCGAGTCGCTCAAGAAGGAGATCGCCGAGATGAAGAAGAAGGCCGCGGCCAACACGAAGCTCATGCACGACATCTCGCACGAGAACAAGCGGCTTTCCGAGCCATTGGCTGCCGCGATTCAAGAGGTCGAGCGCCTTAAGCACGAGCTCAAGGACGAGCAGAAGGACAAATTGTCGCTCCGAAACGCCAAAGCGCGGCTTGTGCTACTCGGGAAGCAACGCGTGCAGCTCAAGAAGGAGCACCAGGAACTCCTCCACGCGTACAAGACACTCGAAGCGGGCCGCAATGCCCTCTACGACAGTTTTGAGCACACGATCCACACGGTGCAGACCAAGGGCGAGTACAAAAACCTCGTCCTGGAGCAGCGCCTGAGCTCGTTCAGCGAGCAGCACAACAAGAAGCAAGCACAGTTGGACGAGGTGCGACGACGCATTAAGACATTTGAAAGGAACGCGATGCGTAGATTCTGCAAGCCGCGCACCTCGAGGCCGGCGAAGTGCGTCGCGTCACTGAGAAGCTCGATACGATGCTCTCGACCAAGAACGCAAAAGTGCGCGATCTGCAGTACCAAGTCGCTAAAGCGAGCAAGGCGTACAACGACGCGCTGCGGACGTACGAAGGCAAGATGTCGGACCTCGGTATTCCAGACGAAGACATTCGCACACTGGGCTTCAATCCGCTCTTGACGACCACGAGCGTTGGGCCCGCTGGCTTGGTGGCCAAATAAGTCAATCGCAAGCTTTTCCCTGTACAAACAAGTCCGTGCGTAAACGACGCGTCGTTGATCCAGACCACGGCAGATTCAGTGGTGGACATTCGCTCTGTTGACAGCGCCGACGCGTGTGGCGTACCAAGGAACCCACCGACGCGATGCAGGTGCACCGAAAATGTATGCAAAACTCGTGTGCACATGTATTCAAGCTAGCGTGGCGAGTCGATTGCGCTAGTACTTGTTGGTCTTGGACACAATGTAGACGCGAACGGTCTGGTCGAGACACGTGAGCACACAGAGTCCTTCGCGATCCGGACTGCGGTTGTGTGTGAGATTGCAAGCACTCCAAGAAGAGAGATGGTACCTCCAGTCCATGCTCACGATTGGCTGCGTCGAAAGCACGCGCGAATTGAGGAGCTCGACCGTACCACCGACGCCCATGAGAATCCCATCCGGGTCTGTCGTCGTCCGCGACGACGGGTAGTGGCTACGCAGATCTCTTGAGTGAAGAAATGGACGTCATGCATGCGTACTATTTGTAGAGGTTGAAGCCGCCGTTGCCGCCGCCGGTCATGAAGAGGTCTCGGTTCTGCGGCAAGAACCGACCTTGCCACACGGTCGACTTGTGCGCCTGCCATAGCATGATGCATCGTGATGTAAGTGGGTCGATCGATACCTTCTCGCTCATATAGGAAAAGCCCTTGGTCGGGTGGAAGGTGCGGAGGTCGTAGATGCGGAACTTGGACTCGAGCGTCGTCACGAGCAGCTTGTTCATTTCAATGTCCTTGCGGTCGAACTGGACGCCAACAACGCCGTTCTGGACGTTGGTCTCCCACCGCATCGAATTGGTGCGCAAGTCGAACATCTTGACGTCGCCATTGTCATAGCCCGCGACGATGCAACGCTCATCATCATTGTACGAGTTGCCTAGCGCTTTTGAGCATCTATCCTCATATATGATTGTACCGAAAGCAACCGTCCAGCAGTCGCGGACCGCCTCGCCTTGGTCGGGCTCGAGCGACACGACGGGGTTGGCGACGCGGATGTCCCAGACACGCACGCAGCCTACGCGACCCGTGAAGTGCGGACGAGGATTACCGTGTTCTCTGTACCGTCGCGACCGCCCGTGACAATCTCGGGTGCGCCGTAGCCAATGTTCAAGCCACCGCAGCCTTCGATGCAGTTGATGATTGACTTGTGCGCTTGGGCCGAATAGACGGGCACGCTGGGGCGCTCCAAGTCGAGGACGCTCATGACGCCGGCAAAGTCGCCACACGCCAAGTGGCGCTCCTCGAGCGATGACGCGCCAAACGTACCGCACTTGATGCCATGCGGCTTTTCGATCTCGGCGATCGTCTTGAGCTCGCCTTGGTTGAGGCCATAGATCGTGATGGCCCCGGTCGCGCGCGGGTGGATGCCCATGCTCACAAAGCGCGCCGAGCACGGTATCCAGCGCGCATCGTACGGCGTGTAGTTGAGTCCCTTGTTGACGTGCTCGATGACCTGCGGCGCGTCGGTCGTGTCCATCCTGCTCGGTCTTGGAAAATGCGTGCTGTCTGTCGAAGATATGGATTCCGGATACAACATCCGGAGATCCCGCGAAGCTTGAAAGGGCACGGAAGCAATTTTCCCATGATCGAATGCACGGCTACGTTCTTAGCGTGTCGACGAAATGCCTCTCTGATGGCGTCAGCGCAATGTCCGATTGCTCGTCATTATACTAGTATGCTTGGTGACTGTGCTAACAACCCCGTCATGACGTGGCAGCATCTCAGACACGCAACGCCGTCGATATTAATAGGCGCCGTTTCAAGACTCAACCGAAAGCACTTTCTCCTTCGAGGGTGGCAGCAAAATGACGGAGAGCGCGCTGACGCAGCAGCTCGTACGTCGTCGCCTCGCCTCTCTGTCTGTCGTACTATCTACAGCCTCTAGGTGCTTCTGCTGCAGGACGTCCACCTGCCCAACACGACGGCGTGGCAGAAGCGCACCACGGTCGTCCACGAGTGGCTGCACGAGAACGCAGCGGCGGGCAACCTTCTCGACGATGGCATGGAAGACGTACGGACGCATTTTAATACCTCCTGCGATCTCTTCCTCTCCTAGACGATCCTGCGGCAGCTGCAGCGCGGCGACATGCACCCGTCGGCCCAGGCCCGCTGCTGGCGTCACATTGGTACAGTGCCCACGGTGTTTGCATAGCTACATCACCGAACGCTCATTAGTTGGTGAGCTTGTCGAAGTGCCCTGCGTGCGCAACTTTGAAGCCGACGCGCCCGAGCCGAGTCCGAGCCGAGGCAAGATTCGGGCGGGGAAGGACCTCGTCGTCTTGTCCGACCCTGTCCCGCCCCTCGAAATCGATGGTGCGAGTCCGCTCGCTCTGGAGACGGAGCTCCCGCTCTCGCAGCGGTCGTCGTCGCAGCCGCCGCCGTCGTCCATGCAGAAGGAAAAGACGTTCTCGACCATGTCGATGATGGAGCGCCAGGCCGAGTGGCTCAAGAAGAAGCAAGAAAAAGTCGAGGCGGAAGAGCGCCGGCAACGCGAAGAGAAAGAGAAGGAGCTCACGTTCAAGCCCAACCTCATGCGGCGACAGACGTACAACGAGCGCCCCGCCGAAGTCACGAAACCACCGTCGGTCACGAAACAGAGTTCGTTTAACGACAAACTCTTACAGCGCCCGGCGCCCGAGACTCGCCCGGCCTCGCGCAGCATCGAAAAGCCCAAGGCATCGGCGGCGTCGATTCCAAAGGCCAAGGCGGTGCGTCGAAAGAAGTCGATTGCGAGCACGACGCGCCCGATCGATGCGAAAATTGAGGTCACGTCCGACTTGCTCAACAACATGAAGTCGGAGCTCAAGGCCTCGAAGGCCATGAAGCTCGAGGCAGCGCCGGCCGACGAGAACGGCGACGAGAACGACGACGGCGACGACGACGAGCCGGCAGAGGACCCCCGCGAGACGACTGCAGACGACGACGATAATCGCCTGCCGCTCGTGCTGTCGGCGTCCAAGACGTCGCTGCTCGACTTCAAAATCGACTTTTCTGGCGGCGAAAGCAAGGCGCGGCTCGTGCTGCAGGATGCGTCGCTCTTTGAGCTCAACTCGATGTACCGCAAGACGGACAAGGGCGCGCGGCGCGAGGGGATTGCGCTGCAGATGGGGCGTCGCGAGGACAACCACGAGGAGCAGGTCGTGGCTGTCATCTTTGACAAGGAAAAATGACCGAGGCCGAAGCACAGCTGTGGTGGACCGAGCACCAACCGCGCTTCTTGGAGCCGGCCAACAACCCGAGTAGTACCTCCTAAATGTCGTCGATGCCATGACGTCGTCGCGTTAATAGAGTAATAGAAGGGTGGGAACGTATTGCTTTCTGTCTCTAGTTATTGCGAGTGGTCTAAAAACCCAGTCCACGGCTCACGTTGACTCGTGCACTGCTTGTTGAGTAGGGTAGCAAACTCCATCGCCACCTGGGATGGTCGTACAGTACACGCGCAGTAGGCCGACACCCAGAGAGACGCAAGCATCCATTCGTGTCGAAAAATGTTTGATAGGCTGGTCTTGAATATTGGCAGTATCGCTAAACAGGACTGCCATCCTACTTCCCACGGCGAGATACTTGCTGGCAGGCCACGCTCATCCAAAGCGTACCACTCAATGTCGCAAAGATATCGGCCGCCTCGACACTGTCGAGGCTGCAGGATGACACCGTTCGTTCCGTCGGTCGGCAGATTGCTGTGGGTCCTGCAAGGACGGGTGTTGGACATGCAATCGGCTGGTCGCCATCGGGGCATCGCCGACGTGAAGATTGGGTGCCACTTGAGCACGCCACCTCCTTCGTCGTCGGTCGTTCTCTGCAACGGCTCATCCTGCTCACAGCTCCTGCTCTCGACAATTCGAGCTCGCTCCACGCCATGTCGCGACACGTGCAGGGGTAAAGACTCTTGCAACTATCGAGCTGCCAGACACACACACGGGACAAGTGCTTGCCATTCAAGGCTACCGAGTACAGCCGCATTGACCCGCACCACTGGCCCTTGATAAGACGGCGATGCTCGTGGCGTGGCTGCAAGCAACAATGCGCTGCTTGGAAGTGGTGCAAGGCGCCGAGTGACAGGGTATTGGTACCCGTAGTGAACGCTGTGCTGGCTGTTGGTGCGTCTATGCAGCGTATCCCGAGAGAGTGGCATCGGTACCGACGGCCGTCGCTAGCTCCACGCAGCTGGCGCTGCCACGACCGTTCGAGCGCAATGCGTCGTTGCGGTGACGAGTAGCTCGCCACGTCATCACCTCGCATCGTGGTGGCAGTATGGCAACGCGTATGCAAGACAGGCGACGAGGCTGGCAGCGAGGACAAAGTGCAAGTTGTGTGCAACTAGCCGCAGGTGCCCAAGAGAAACGGGCCGTGAGAAGCGTACTTAATAGGACACGCCACGACGGCGAAGTCACCAGTCGCGGATCATCATGAGTGAGTTCGACATCTGCCTGCCGCCGAGCCCGCTTCTGAAGCTCCATCCGCCGGCGCCGCCGAGTCCGCCCAATGGCCAGCCCAACGTACTGCTCGGCGCCGCTCTCCTCCGCAAGTCCAAGCCGCTCGTGCTCTTTGAGGTACCTCGACATGTGGCAGACAGCGATCTTCCAGCAATGCGGCTAGAACCTTGGCACGGACGCGTTGGTGTTCAAGCCGCCGACGACCAAGATGCGCTTTATTGACACACTGCGGTACCACAAGCCGACGCTAGACGAGCGCACGACGTATAACCTCGCCGGGTCCACGGAGCGCCTCAACCTGCACACCCTCAACGACGTAGGCCGAGTTCAATGATACACGCAGCGGCGTCATGCATGGGACACACGGTCGTAGGTGCTTGCGGTCTGTCGGGCGCGCCGAGGCATGCGCTTCAAGAGCCAGGACATTTGTCGCATCCGCGCCATCACGAGCGAGCTCCAGCTGAGCTACGACGGCCTCAACGTCCTCTTCAAAGCGTTGCCAGCGGGCGTGAATCGCATCAAGGTTCCTGTCGAGCCGCCAGCCATACGCTCGCCGCCGTCTGTAGAGAGTGACGACGACAAGGCGGTGGTCAAGGCCGCTGTCGCCTTCCACGAGCGAGCGAATGCCTACGTAGCAACGTTTCTTCGGCTGCGGTCGCTCGTCGAGACGATCCAGGCGTCCCAGGGTCCACTGCAAGACGTTGTCGACGACGTCAGCCCCGAGACAGACTCAGGTATCCTTGTGGTCTCCTCGATTGACCTAGCGGTGGCATGTAGAGTTCGAGTCCAAAGCTAAGGCGCCCTTCCCCATGTTTCTCTTTGTCTTGATCCAAAAGTACCGGCGCGAACGGCATGAGATGCCATCGACGGCGCTGCTCGCGTCGTCGACGCTGCCGACCCACCCGTGGTGGCCCAACGACGCGCACCCGCCGCTGGACTCGCTTGCCGCCTTTGCCATCTTCCTCGCGTCCAGCTTGATCTACGGCGTCTCGTTCCACAAGGACGAGCTCGAGGCCATCGCAATCCTCTTGCAGATCATGTGCGACACGATCCTGTATATCGCTCGCTCTCATTCCTGCGTTCTGAACTAGCAAGTGCGACCACGCGGCCAGTACGCAGAACCTGCGCGTCGAGCTCCTCGGCGACTGCACCGAGCGCACACTGCGCCTCGCCATCTTTGAGTTCCTCGCGACCGTGCGCGAGCTCCGGGCGATCCCCAAGCAGGCCGAGTTGCTCCAGAAGAAGCGTAAGGTCGCGACGCAATAGACGTGGTGTGCATCGACCGGCCTGTCCCGTTGTACTGTCTGCAGCTCGTGGCCGCTCGACGCGGTCGCCTCATGCACTGGCCTCGTGCCAGCTGCAGGATGCCCGAGGAGGTAGCCCATCTGGGCGAGTGGAAGCGGCGTGGCGAACGCCACGTTCGGTGCCAGCGTTCGGCGGCGGCTGGACTCTCTCAAACCATAGTAGAACCAAGTGCAGCGTGAGTAACGTCAGGAGCATGTTCGGCGCCGAGATGGGAAAATCCGGCGAGTTGCCCAAACGATCGAATAAAAATACGATGCGTACAGGCGGTTTCCACTGTATTTAAATACGCATCGGTAATTGGCCGTGTAACAGGCCAGTGATTGAAGTCACTTTTGTCGTCTTAGAGGCCGCGTCGGAGGCAGCAGCATGGAACGACCGGCCGTCGACGACCTCACGGAGCTCATGGAGCTCAACGAGGACACGATCTTCGGCGCGCTCGAGGCCCGCTTCTACGCCCAGCGCATCTACACCAACACGGGCCACATCCTCCTCGCCGTGAACCCGTTCGAACGACTACCAGCGCTCTATGGCTCGGAGCGCATGGAGACGTACGCTGACTACTACGCGCCCGACGACGACCGCACCGACGATGGACGATTAGCGCCAGCACCGCACATCTACCGCGTTGCCGCCACGGCGTACCAGGCCATGATGCGCGGCAAGCTCTCGGACGCGCCGAGCGACCAGTCCATCCTGATCAGCGGCGAGAGTGGGAGTGGCAAGACCGAGTCCACAAAGCTTCTCATGGAGTACCTCGCACACGTCGGCGATGTGCCAGCGCCCGTGCGCATGTCGATGCCCGTGAACACGTCGACGATCAGCGACAAGGTCCTCGACGCTAACATCGTGCTCGAGTCGTTTGGGAATGCTCGCACGCTGCGCAACGACAACTCGAGTCGGTTCGGGAAGCTCATTCAGATGAACTTTGACCAAGGCCTCTTAACAAGCGCCTCGATCCAGACGTACCTCTTGGAGAAAGTCCGTCTCGTGACGCAGTCCAAGGGCGAGCGCAACTACCATATATTTTACGAGATGCTCATGGGCAGCTCCGAGGTGCAGCTTGCCTCCTGGCGCCTCATTGCGTCGCCCGACATGCGCCTCAGCGTCGACGCGCGGCGGCAGCTCATGGCCAACTTTCGATACCTCAACCAGAGCGACTGCTACGACCGGAAAGACCACGCGAACGACGCCCACAACTACAACCACATGCTCCGCGCGCTTCAGATGATTGGCTTCTCGGCCCACGAGCAGTCGGGCATGCAGGCCCTTCTCGCTGCGCTCTTGCATCTCGGCAACCTCACATTTCAAGTCGCACCCAAGGACCACTGCCACGTCGCGCCATCGAGCCAGACAGCCCTCGCTGCAGCGGCCACATTGCTCTCACTGCGTGACGCTGGCGCGTTGGAGAAGGCCCTTGTGACGCGAACGTTCCGCGTCGCGGCCGAGATCAAAGTGCTTCGGCTCACGGTCGACGAGGCTAAAAACACCCGCGACGGGCTCACAAAAGCGCTGTACGGGCGGCTCTTTGAGTGGCTCGTCGGGCGCATGAACGCCTTTCTGCGGCACGACGACTCGGGTACACTTTATCGCGTCCACGGCTCCGATCTGAGTGCTGTGTATAGACAATGCGTCGTCGTTTGGGACGACCAAGAGTGACACGTCGAGCTGGATCGGCATTCTCGATATCTTTGGCTTTGAAGTCTTTCCCGTCAACTCGTTTGAACAGCTCTGCATCAACTTTGCCAACGAAACGCTGCAGCAGCAGTTCAACTTGCACAACTTTGCGAACGAGCAAGTCGAGTACAAGAAGGAGGGGCTGGCGTGGGACTATGTCGCGTTCACCGACAACAAGGAGTGCGTCGACCTCTTCTCGGCCAAGCCGTTTGGCCTCTTCTCGCTCATGGACGAAGAGAGTATGCTGGCCAAAGGCACGGACGCGTCGCTCGCGTCCAAGCTCTACGCGCGCTGCGGCAGCCATGTTCGGTTCAGCGCCTCCCGCGTGCAGCAGGGCCGCGGACTCTTCTCGATCGACCACTACGCCGGCCTTGTCGAGTACACTACGGTTGGCATCCGCGAGAAAACAAAGACGAGCTGCGCCAGGACATCGTCGACCTCTTCCAGACAGCGACGGCCGAGTCGTCGTTTGCGCGCGTCTTGTGCGAAGCCGGCCTCACGCACCGCCGCAGCAGTCACGCAACCCTGCGTCGGCAAGAGTCCAAGCGTCTCAACACGGCGAGCGTCGGCGGCCAGTTCAAGACGCAGCTGCTGCATTTGATGGAGATGCTCAAGCTAACTGCGCCGCACTACGTGCGGTGCATCAAGCCCAACGACGAGGCGGCGGCTGGTGTCATGACCAAGGACCGTGTCGCCGAGCAGCTGCGCTGCAATGGTGTGCTCCAAGCCGTCCAAGTCGCGCGCGCCGGCTTTCCGATCCGCATGCTCCACAGCGAGTTCATGGGGCGGTACACGGTGGTCGCCCGTGCACGTGCGCCTCGCCACGCAAGCCTCTCGTCGTTGTACGCGGTTGTCGACCACTGCCTCCCGCACCTCCCGCTGACGTCGTCGCCGACGGCACTCGACTTGACGGCGCTTTGCTACGCGCGCGGCCTCCAGATCGGCGTCACCAAAGTCTTTTTGCGCGCTGTGAGCTTTGAGCGGCTCGAGCGCCTCCGCGTCAAGCACGTGGCCGCGCACCAGCTGTACATTGCGCAGCGCCTCCTCGGGTACCTCCACCGGAGTCGGTATCTTCGCTTCCGACACGCCGTGGTCGTGCTCCAGAACCAGTTTCGCTGCCGCCGCGCGCGCTACCGATGGGCCACCGTCCTTCAAGCGTTTGGGCGCATGGTCCTCGCCAAGACCCACTTTGACCGTGTAAAGCGGTCTGTTATTTATCTCCAGCGCCGCGTCCGCGCCAAGCAGCAGCAACAACAGCAAGAGCAGCAGCAACAAGAGCTAAACCGGCCCATGCCTCTGCGACTCGAACTCGAAGGCAGCGACGACGACGACGACGACGAGGACGCGTGGTTGGCCAACGTGCCGCGCGAGTCGTACAGTGCGCTCTCGCCCATCTCGTCCTCAGACGACGACGACGAAGACATTGTGCGCATGACGTATGTGGCCGCCCCGTTGCACCAGACGACCGTACGGTCCTCGGGCATCTACCGGTCGACGGTCAAGCAGCTGCAGCCGATTCGGAAAGGCCCGACACCGATCGCCGAGCTCTCGCCGCGCGCGCACCTGCCGCCGCATCCCGTGTCGCCGCTTGACAGTCGCCACACCACCTCGTCGTCCGGCAGTCGCCGCACGACAATGCGCCGCACGACGTTTGCTCTGCGGAAGCTCTCGGTCATCGAGACGACCAAGTGGAAGCAGGACCAAGACAGCTTTGCGTGCTACCAATGCAACAAGCGGTTCACGCTCTTCCGCCGGCGCCACCACTGCCGCGTCTGCGGCGAGGTCATTTGCGACAACTGCTCGACGTTTGTCGGGCTCGAGAAGCAGCAGAACGTGCGTGTGTGCGTGCTCTGCAGTACGCTCACCGTCGAAGAGCGCGCGCCCACCAACATCACCGTCATGAGCGACGATGTTTGGCCGCACGCGTGGCCCGAGCCGCCGTACCCGCACGACGAAGACGCGCGGCTCTCGGTCGTGCGGCAGCTCCCGCTGCAGACGATGATGGAGGCGCGCGAGTGGCTCGGGCTCTGCAACGCGGTCCAAGCCCACTTTCGCGCGTCCGTCGCGTACATCTCGATCGTGTGCGAAGAAGACCAGTGGGTCATCTCGCGCGTCGGGTCGTTCCACACCAAGCTACCCCGCGAGATGTCGTTTTGCTCGTACACGATCTGCGGCGGGAGCCCGCTGGTCGTCAAGGATGCGACGCTCGACGACCGCTTCAAGGAGAGCCCGCTCGTGCAAGGCGGGAAGGGCAAGTTCCGCTTCTACGCCGGCGCGCCCATCGTCTGGACCGCCGAGACGCACATTGTGTTTGGCACGATCGCGGTCTTGGACACGAAACCCCGCAAGATCGTGACGCCCGAAGACGTTGACTTTATGGCCACCTTGTCGGCCGCCGTGAGCGCGCGCATGTCCGAGTACGTCCCGCGCAGTGTAAAGTAGTAAGAAAGCCACCTCTTTGTACAGTCATCGGCGTATTAGTGTACTGTAGTCGCTCGCTGTAGTAATCCCGCACCCAACTCGGCGCTCGCCCATCGCGTCCACTATGAACCAGCTCAACGAACCTGGTCGCTCCATGCAGCCGCGCTGGCCGTGCACGTTCATGCAAACGAGCACCCAAGCACGATCCTTTGTACGGTATGCATCGCCCTCCGCGAGGCCTCCTACCGCTTCGTTGCTGCCTGCCTGTACACGGCAGCAGTAGTAGTGTTGCATTGGGCTGGTTGAGTGGGCCTCGCACCCACTTGGTCCGAGGCTGTCGCTGCAACTAGCTTCAGCCCAGCATCGGCGCTGACGCGTGCGCTGGCGTGGCCGTCCGTCGGCGTTCTTCAACTTGTGCTTGTATAAACATGGTGCACACGCAGCCGGCCGTCCCACGGCGCGTCCCACTCCGCCGCCACATAGCGCCGCCAGCGCATTATGCAGAGCTCGTCGGCGGAGGTGATGCTTGGCGCTCGGTCCTCGCATCGGCCAGGTCACCAGCCGCAAGCGACTGGTCCGCGCGACGTCGACACCGTCCCATCCTCGTCCAAGGCTCTTGTCGCCAGCCTCCAAGCGCCTGTGAATCTGATCCGGATACCACTGGGCCCAGTTTATCCGGCGCTATTTTCTCGCCGTTAATGTCTCAGAACTCGAATTGTCCGCGGTCCGCGGCCAGACTTGCGCATTGGCATGGGGCAGAAAGGGAGCAAGGCGCAGGAGAAGGAGTCGCATGCGTCCATGTACCGAGGTCTCGCTGGGCGCATGCACAAACGCAAGAGCCAGGAAGACGGCCGGCTGGCGCATGCGCTCTCGGACCCGATCCGTGCACCAGCCTCGGCGCCGGCCTTCCTTCCACGGGCGATGACGCCGCCGCCGCCATCCGCGTCGGGCACGCCGACCACGCCGCCGCGGGTGTCGTCCGACTTTTCGACGCCGCTGGCGACACCGGCGCCCCGGCCTTCACCGGCAACCTCAACAAACTCGACTCCGTTGGCAACGCCGGCGCCACGGTCCAGTGGTGGCACGTACGTCCGACCACATATGCAATCGTTCGACCGCGCCATCCGCCCTTCGACGCAAAGTATGCCCGTGGACACGTCAACGGACGAAGAGTCGGTCGGGAGCCCGGCCTCGATGGAGGTCGGCGACTGGCTCATGGAGGACGACGACATTGAGATCGAGATGGTCGACGACGACGACTTGAACTCGGAGCACGACACGGAGAACACGGTACCTCCTTCTTTCATCCCCAGCAATATATGCTCACGCGCAACGTAGGAGCCCGAGGTGACGCTGACGCCGTACCTGCTCGCCAACAAGCCGCTCTACGACATTATGATTCAAGTGCAGCTCTTCGCCAACTTGAGTCAGAACCAGCAAGAGCAGGTGCTGCAGGCGCTCAAGCCGATCAAGTTCAAGGACGGCCAAGCGATTGTCAAGCAAGGCGAGCGCGGCGAGCGCTTCTTTATGATTGCCAAGGGCGAGGCCGTCATCACCAAGAACATGGACGGCAAGGAACGCATGATCACGCATTTGTACGCCGGCCACTACTTTGGCGAGCTCGCGCTCATTTACGACGACCCGCGCACGGCGACCGTCCGCGCGGTCGGCGACGTCGAGCTCTTGTATCTGACGCAAAAGGACTTTCAGCAAGTCGGCCAAGTTCATCTGAGTCTCATGCTGCAGCAAGTGCCGCTCCTCGCACAGCTCACGTCGCGCGACCAAGACGCGATCCTCAAGAAGCTCAAGCCCGCAAACTTTTCCAACGGCGACTACATTGTGCGCCAGGGCGAAGAAGGCACGCGGTTTTACATGATTACGCGCGGCGAGGCTGCGGTGCTCGAGACGCACGAGCCTGATGGCCAAGAGCGCGAGCTCACGCGCCTGTATGAAGGCCACGTGTTTGGCGAAATGTCTCTCATCTACAAGGAGCCGCGCACCGCGTCGGTCGTCGCGATTGGGCCGGTCAAGTGCCTCTACCTCACGAAAGAAGACTTCGACGAGTGCCTTCTCTCGGAGCGCTTCCAGAAGGTCATCCAGCGTGCGTACATTGAAAAGGCCACACGCCGCGCGATGCGCAACAAGAACCGACTCCAAGAAGCCAACAAACCGTCGTCCGCGACCGACATGTACATCGTCCTTGGCAGGCGAGGACTCATGATGTCGGATATTAGGTCGCAGATGACGCTGGAAGGTCTCAACGGCGTGGCGCTTGAGACGAGCAAGCTCACGAAGCACCGTCTTGCCAACGGCGAGAAGGTCGTGAACAAGTATGTGATCAAGGGCGAGCTTGGCAAGGGCACGTTTGGAACCGTCAAAAAGTGTATGAACGAAGAGGACGGCAAGCTCTATGCCGTCAAGATCATGCACAAGACGTTTGTCCAGCGCATGGCCAACCGGGAGGACTCGCTGCAGGACGCGCTGCGCCGCGAAGTCGCCATCATGAAGAAGCTGAGCCACCGCAACGTCGTGCGACTCGTCGAAGTCATTGACGACCCGTCGTCGCAAAAGGTCTATCTGGTGCAAGAGTACATTGAGAAGGGCAACTTGACGGAGATTGCGCACGGCGACCGCCTCCCCGAGTATGTCGTGCGCAAGTACATGCGGGACCTCGTCTGTGGGCTGCAGTACCTGCACTTTCACAAGATTGTGCACCGGGACATCAAGCCCGAGAACATTCTCGTGACTGCCGACGACATTGCCAAGATTGCCGACTTTGGCGCCGCGCGCATGGTCATGAACGAAGCCGAGACGATTTCTGGGGCCAAGGGCACGCCAGGTACCAACTCGGTGTCTCGGAAGTGGAAAATCTGATATCTTATTATATTCTTCCTCTTGGCTAGCGTTCATGGCGCCAGAAATGTTCAACATCAACGCCGAGTACACGGGACCCTCGGCCGACATTTGGTCGCTTGGCGCGACGCTCTACATGATGGTACGACGGATGACACTGTCGAATTAATGGGGTTTGAACCGTCAACTAGATGTTTGGCCACCCGCCGTGGCTCGCCGACAATGAGATTGAGCTCGCAGAAAAGGTGCAGCGCGACGAGCTCAGCTTTCCGGAAGGGTTTGTGGAGCCGCATCTGAAGAACCTCCTCCAGCGCATGCTCACAAAGGACCCAGACCGTCGTATTACGCTCGCCGATGTCATGAACCACGAGTGGATCACGCGCGAGGGGAGCGAGCCGATCATCAACAACATTTTCGAGGACGGCATCAACAAGGTGACGTTTGACGAGACGGACGGCGCGATTCAAAACATCCCGGAGCGCATCGACCAGCGCCTCCAAGCGTCGCTGGCGGAAGCGCACTTGATGCTGACCAACAAGACGCTGCTCGGCCGGCGCACGCCGAACGCGTCCTCGATGCACTCGCTCACGTCCTCCAAGTCGTCGAACGACAATGGGTCGCCGTCGCGTCAAAAGAGCTTTTCCAGCGCGCGCTCGAAACGCAGCCCGCTCCGGTCCAAGAACTCGAACGAGTCGATGGGCTCGACGCTCGAGGCGGCGCGCGTCATCTCTGCGTGGCGCCACCACAAGCGCGTCGCGCTCATGGACGGCCACAACCTCTCGGAACGCGTGCGCGATTTGCTCTTAGAGCAGAAGCGCATGGCGTTTTCGGTCGAGCGGGCGCAGATCACAGAGATCATCTTGCCGACCAACCACGTGATTTCGTCGCCGACGCGGCGCAACACCGAAGGGCTCGAGAGCACGGCGTCGGACGAAGACCTCTTGAAGCGCCAATTGTCGCGCAAGAAGGACTTTGTCATGGTGACGTCCGAGGTGTTTCGCGGCGAAGAGGGCGACTTGCAGTCGCGCAAGGTGCTCTTCCAAGCGACGAGCCAAGATTTCTCGATCGCGTCGCGCGTGCCTCTGCACTCGTCGTCCGAGTCGTCGATGGTCGATTCGCGCACCATGTCGGACAGCCGGAACCTCTCGGAATCGCGGACGCTCTCGGACCACCGCAAAATGTCGGACAGCCGGTCGATCGACTCGCGCAAGCTCTCGGAAGCGAGCCGGAAGCTCTCGGACTCCCGCTCCAAAATGTCGGACTCTCGGAAAAACTCGGACACGGTGCGGACCATGTCGGGCTCGCGCAAGTCGAGCCGGTCGTCGACGCAAAACAAGTCGAGCCACTCGATGAACGACCTCCTCAACGCCGAGACGGTCATGTCGGAAGGCAGCAGCGATGAAGACAGCGACGACGAAGATGACATGCGCGCCATGAGCTCGTCCTCCAAGGGCTCGTCGGCCTACTCGGACGTCGAGTGCGACGTGGATGTGAACGAGACGTTTGAAGACCTGTTGCACACGCCGCGGTCGGGCGACGAGCGCAACGACGACATTGAAGTCGCACCCCTCGAGTGCGAAACCACGACCTTCTTCCCCGAAGACGAGATCGACGTGATCCAGGTCTATGTGAGCAGCAAGATTCGCGAAAACCTCGCGCTGGGTCTCCGTGCGGGCTACGCCGAGGCCAAGGGCGAGCGGCCGTACATGGAGGACAAGAGCCTTGCACTGACGCACTACCCACGCCCGGGCAACGACGCCGAGACGATCGCCTACTATGCTGTCTATGACGGCCACAACGGCGACGAGACGGCGCTCGTCTTGCAAAAGGAGCTGCATATGAAGATTCTCGATCGGCTCGCAACAAGCTCGCCCGAAGACGCGGTGCTCGAAGGTATGTCTGGTCTTGTGTGACGGTTCTGAGAGCGAGGACTAGGCTGCCGTGTCATGGACGAAGAGCTGCTGGCCAAGGACAATGCCAAGATTGCAGGCTTTACCCGCGACGGCAACGCGGCTCGGCCGGCGCCAATTTCGTTTTCCGGCTCGGCCGCCATCATGGCGCTGTTGCTCAACGTCGAGGACGGTCTGCAGCTGGTCATTGGCCACGTCGGGGACTGTCGCGCGGTGCTCTGCCGCGGGCCGGAAGCCCTTAGTCTCACGGTCGACCACAAGGCGAGCAACGCGATCGAGAAAGAGCGCGTACGTGATGCAGCTTGCCTCTGAATCTGAACCTCAACCCTCGTTTTGTAGATTGAAAAGGCCGGTGGGTTTGTGCACAACGGACGCCTCGATGGCATTCTCGCCATCTCGCGCGCCTTTGGCGACCTCGCGCACAAGAGCGACGGCCATCTCATCGCCGTGCCCGACATTACGACCGAGATGATTGAGCCCGAAGACGAGTTTCTCTTGCTCGCGAGCGACGGGCTCTTCGACGTGATTACGTCGCAGCAGGCGGTCAACTTTATCCGGCGCAAGCTGCGCAACCACGGCGACGTGCAGCTCGCGGCGCAGGAACTCGTGCTCAAGGCGCAAGAGTATGTGAGCCACGACAACATCAGCGCGATCGTGGTGTGCTTCCACCAAACGTAATACTAGTATAATAGAAGTATGTTGTTCGTCACGTCCCTACAGAAAGTGTAAAAAGTTCGTACACTTTACACGACACTTTCAATTGAACACCACACTTTCATCTGTGGAAATGTTGAAAGGTTTTCCACTATCTTTACTAACAACAATTGCTACACTGGCACACAACACGGACATATTAAAAGCACCATGGGGTCGTTTAAAAGAACGACCGCGGCCAGATTGGTCGTTTGAAACCAAGAAGAATGAGCTCGGGGGAAAGAGCAAAGAGCCAAAAAGCCGATTAAAAGAAACAATCGCCAGTGATGTGACCGATTAAAAGAACAGCAAGACAGAAGAAATGGAAAAGATCGCGGGCGTTGACATGCATCGTGTTCAAATCTACAAGTACCGGCGCAAGGCAGCGTACCGGCGGAAGAAGAGGAAGCCGCAGGCCGCGCCGCCGAGGTGCGCGACGTTGCCGACGCTGTTGCCGCCGGTAGAAGCGCCCCAGAGGTCCCGGAGGATGAAGAGACCACCGGCCACGTACGCAGGAAGCGGCACGATCGCCATGATGTAGATGGTACTGTGCGGAAACGCGCAAATGTAGAAGGACGTGATCGCGTTGACCGCGCCGCTTGCGCCGAGCATGATCGAGTGGCGGCGCTCATATGTATCGTAGGCGATCTGGCAGAGCGATGCAACGACTGACAACATTGATGATCACGATGATGGTCAATATGGAGATGGTCACGTACCGGCGCTGCCGAGGTAGAGGCCGAGGAAGCGCTTGGCGCCGATCATGTGGCTCACTTCGCGCCCGAAAAAGTAGAGGCCGACGCCGTTCATGAAAAAGTGGCTCGTGCTCATTTGGCTAAAGGCGGACGTGACGAGCGTATGGAAGCGGCCGGCCTTGAGGTGCATGAGCGACGTCGTAAAGTTCTCGACCATAAACGTCTTCTTCTCGCGCGTCTGCGCTGTCTGCCACATGAGGAAGACGGCGCCGTTGAGGCCGAGGACGCCGTAGAGCGCATGGTCCGGGTCGATGCGATCCAGGACGCTGCGACGCGATGTAAAGGAGCGCGTTGGGATTGCAGGTGCGCGGTGCGGCAGGAAGGACTTGGTCGCTGGCGGCGCCAGACGGCCAAGCCCGCGCTTCGCGAACATGCTCAAGGACATGATGATGGGAAATTGCACTCTGAAACCTCTGAAATTGAATATCCTCTCGGACACCATCGCACGCTCGTATCCGGAAAATCCAAAGCCCAAAGATTCGTGCCGAACAATTGTACCAAGTAATGGGGATGCACCCCTCCATGATCGCTCGCGCGCAAGCACCACGGGGATGCTGCCCTTGAACCTACCGGCAAAATAGACGACGCGGTCGCATTTCGCGCTCTTGGGCCGCGAATAAGAAGCTAAGAAGCTTATTTTTGGTAGAGGTGCGCGAAGCTACGCCAAAGCACAAGCTATCTCCCTGCAACGACGCGCACACAGACTGCGAACGCTGGTTGTATGACCGACGGCTGCAGCCACAGCCACCTAGGACGACGAGGATGCAAAACTGATCGGCTAGGCGCTGTATGGTGCTCGCGAGGTGCTACCTCGTATCTCTTGAAGCGGCCACGCGGGATGGAAACTGCGAGGACAGCGGAAAACTTTAGGTGCTTGTAAGCTATTGACCCGTCGACCGCGCTAGCGTCGCCTTCTGCAGCTGCATACAGTACCTCGTGCCATGGTGGACAGGGCGTTGCCGTCAAGGGCAACGACGGATTGGCGGATGCGCATGGGATGGCAGCGCTGTGATTGGTCCGTAGAAACCTCCGAGAGACGATATCCGGATACAGACGAGGAATTGACTGGTAAATATGGGCGCTCTGTGGGGCAGCACAAACGTGTGACGTAGATAGCGACAAAATGCAAGCCTTGGGGAAGACGCTCCGCTCGCTCGGGCAATCGTTGGACAAGGTCGGCGTGGCCCTCGAGGGCCGCCTCACCTACACGGAGCGCCGTAAGCCCGCGTCGTGCTCTCTCGATCGGTACCTCACATGCCATGACTAGTGGTTCCGTCGACGCGCCTTGTGGCCAACGCCGGCAACAAGCCCGTGCTCGCCGAAGGCGCCTTCGTCGCCCCGAACGCGTCGGTCGTCGGCGAAGTCTCCATCGGCAAGGGCTCGTCCGTCTGGTACGGCGCGACGGTCCGCGGTGATGTGAACCACATCACGATCGGCGACAACTCGAACGTCCAG